TTTAACTTGATGATAGTATTTTAAAGACAATGCATTTACAGAATTCAATGTCTAATTTGTAAGTATAATTGCTGGGTCCTGATGGATAGGCAAAGGAGGCTTGTGGGCAGAGGCATGGATTCTTTTGCCTGATTATGCTGATGTCCCCAAAGGTGTGAAAAGGTCTCAAAATTTATCAAACTTTTCACATATAGGTGTTTTATTGTCTGTCAAATATTTCCTGTTAGAAAAGTTACATCAAATTAGGCAAAAACATGAATCACAAACATAGAGAATGAGGGATAAGGGGAAGTAGACACAGTTGAAGAATTCTGAAAATTGGGAAGAATGGAGGATGGAACTACAGTTTTCCCCATCAGATGTCAAGTCTGAGATGACTGGGGTTGCACTGGCTGCCTCACCTCCTAATTATCAGGACAAAGAGATACACCATCCTATTATGTTTCTCAAGTTAAAGAGCAACACAAATTTATGTTTATATGGAGACATTTTCCTAGGAACATGCTGCCATGAATGACTCTGGACAGAGTACAAGAGGCTTCTCAAAGAAGCACCAGGAGATTCAGCTGGGCCTATAGCAGAGCTAGCAGAACAAGCTATAGGGCAGGCCTGAGCAAAGCTGTGGGGTGTTGACCCTCCTGACAGATGGTAAAGGGGTTCTTGTCTTACTTCCCCATGAGCCTGGAGCACTGTGGGTGCCTTAAGGCTTTTGTCATAAGACTGACAGTAATAGTCAGCCTCATCCTCAAGCAGAAGCCCAGTAATGGTCAGTGAACCAGAGTTTCCAGATCTGGAGCCAGAGAAACGATCAGGGACCCCTGAGGGTCGAGTACTACTACCATAGATGATGAGTTTGGGGGCAGTTTCTGGGAGCTGCTGGTACCACTGCACAGTATAGCCATCCCCAATATTTGTGCTGCTCCCAATGCAGGAGATGGTGACCTTCTGTCCTGGAGTCCCAGAGAGTGAGGGCTGCTGAGTCAGCACAGACTGGGCCCAGGACCCTGGAAGTGAGAAAACATCGAGAACTTAAGTTTTGTTTAGAAACAACAGTAGAATCAGGGCCCATATCAGAGGACTCCCACACCCTATCCCTCCTCCATATCATGTCACCTGTGCACTGAATAAGGAATGTGAGGAGGAGATAGGA